ACTTCTATAAGTATCTCTATTTAAACATACATATTCAAAAATTCAAATCTAGCATCTGCAAATGACAAAGAACATGTGGTATTTATCTTTCTAGATAATGATTACCTCACTCAGAATGACTGTGTTCAGTGCCACCCATTTACCTGTGAATTTTATAGTTTTGTTTTTCTTAACACATGAATAATATTTTATTGTGTAAATGTATCACATTTTCATTATCCATGCATCTGCTGATGGACATCTAGTGTTTTGGATTAAAGACTGGGAGTTTTCTAGCTATTATGAATAAAGTAGCAATGAGTATGAATGAGCAATTATCTCTGTATTAGGATAGAGTGTCCTTTGGGTATATGCCCATAACTAGATCATATGGCAGCTTTATTTCCAGTTTCCTGAAGACTTCCACATGGATGGAAAGTTTTGCACCCTTATCAAGAGTGGGTAGGGGTTTCTCTTTGTCCATATCCATGCCAGCATTTATTTTCATTTGTTTTATTTGTTAGTTGGTCTTAGCTATTTTGATTGGGGTAAGATGAAACCTCAAAGTAGTTTTAATTTCTATTTCCCTGACAACTAAGGATGTTGACTATTTTAAACAGTATTTCTCAGTCATTTATATCTCTTTTCTTTATTTTGAGAACTGTTTAGTTTGATGCCCCAGTTTTTAGTTGGAGTAATTGTTTTCCTGCTGTTTATGTTTTTTAGTTATTTATATATTCTAGATACTAACTCTTTGTCGGACATGTAACTGGTAAAGTTTCTCCCCATTATTTAGGCTGCCCCTTCACTCAAATGAGGATGTCCTTTGTTGTAATGAAACCTTGTATTTTTATGAGGTCCCATTCATTAATTTTTGGTTTTAATGCTCATTTTATTGGTTTCCATTGAGAAAGTCCTTTCCTCTGCCAACAAGTGCAAGTGCACTTCCCTACTTTTTCCTGTCAGATTCAGGGGGTCATCAGGTCTTATGTTGAGGTCTTTCTTGATCCACTTGGAGTCGAGTTTTGTGTAGGGTGAGATATAAGGATCTGGATTCATTCTGGTACACATAGCTATCCAGTTTGTTGAAGATGCTGTCTTTTCTCCAAGTCTTATTTTATGATAGCTTGTATTTTGGGCATAGTTGTCTCTAGCACACGGGTAGATGTGAAGCATATGTGCTCTTTCTTGTATGAGTACCCAGCCTAGCAGCTACACCTGGCTTACCACACTTTATTTTACAAAGAGACTGAGATATGAACTTGAAATGCTCATTCCCAATCACACGGTCCGTCTCAGTTTGGGATCCAGTCATCTTGATTACTCATCAAATTGATTTCCCATTGCCCCAAATGTTCCTACTTCCTCCCCCTTTTGTACTATATTGCACATAGAAAAGAGACTAGAAGGGCCTAATATATTTCTTAATGGGGTCTTTAGGGTGTATATTTTTGTAGCTCCTGGCAAAGACTATGTGAATCATGAAGTTATCAAGTAGGCAAATGCAAGATGGGAAATGAAAATGACAAAAAGTGAAATGCTCTTAGGGTTCATTTAAGAAGGATGCTAAGGTGCTACTTAGAAGCACTTTAAGAACTGCTTCTAAGGAAGAAAGTGTCAGCTTCTTTCTCCTTTGGCCACTTACTAAATGTGCCTCTGAATTACAACCAACTAGAGCCACGTCATCCCTGAAATGGAACCTGCTGGCCTCAAGGAGCTGGTTCCAAAAGGTGACTCCAAGTCATACCTTTTCTGTTTCCCATAGAGACTTCCAAAGGTTGCAAGGTCAAGAATAAAGAGCTCACAGAATCTACCGATGAGTGCATTTGTTTCTCCTAGGAGTTTAAAAACAAAACAAAACTCACAGGTGCCAGTCATTTTGGAAAAATGCTATTTGCAACACAGTCCATTTTATGGCCCTGTTTCTAGAACTGTGAATTAATATGTTCTCATAGCCTAAGGACAATATACCCCAGTATGTGGAAAAGTCTTTTAAAAAGTTATACATCTATCACTGTTTTCAAATGTTTCATGGTAATTTGCATTCACTGGGGAATTAAATGGATCTGTGACACAAATTTAAGTTAATTTATTCAGTAAGTAATGACATGTTTTAAGGGGATTCAAAGTGATCAAAATAATGGCATGCCAACAAATCTTTTGATGATCAGCCTGGAAATGGAATTTAAAAGGACTCGGTAAGGTGGAGGGGGCAGGAAATGAAGGTGCTTTACAGTGTTCATACCCACAAACACTTCATACAGGACATTATGCATAGCTACCTGAGGAGTCCCATGGACCCTGTGAGAGTGAGCCATGTTAAAATCAAGAACAGAGTGAGTAACAATTTGAGAAATGACTTTAAAAGCAGCCCTTGGAGAAGAAAGCTAGCAAAATGATCACTTAGTAATATCAGGGGTAACTGAAGTTAATACTTTATACAGATTTCCCCTAAGAAGAATTACGTTTAAAAATCCAGTGTGAATCTGTTTAAAAAATTTAAATTCATCACTCATTGCCCAGAAATGCTTTTGTAGAAAGAGTGACTGTTTCCAAAGTGATCTGAGTTGTCAAAGTGTACTGAAGTGTCAATCAACAGAACTATGTGCTTGTCACAAGGCACAAATTCCTTAGCTTTCTGTCACTTTTTGGCTTTCCATCCTTGAGGAGCTGTATGCAAAGGGGTAAGAGGAAGAGCTAGTTGAAGGCAGGTATTCCAGGACATCACAGTTTTGTTGAAACTGGATGAAGACCACGGAGTCTGCATTTTCCATGTAATTCAGCTATAGGTCAACTGTAGCCCACATCTTGATAGATACATCTAGTGTGAACTCTTGACTCGACACCTTTATCTTGGAGTGGCTGACTGGATGCTCATCTGTTGTTTTTCTCTTTAGCATAATACCTTACCACTCCCTTATGTCTGGTAGCAGGGTACGAGAGAAAATGGTTCCTGATGGTGAAAAACCCTCCGCAAATCCTCATCTTTAAAGTAACAAAGTTGGGTGAAACTCTGTCTAGACTCCCATGTTGTTCTAATACTTTTAAACTCACATCTGATGTCTGGCAAGTATTTCCTGAGAATTATGACTTACATATTGGATAGTGTGGATGGAATGAGCTTGGGAAAAATGGATATTGACCTTGGGACCATTAAATCAGTTAAGGAGTTCCAATAAGTTTCCCTATGTGACCCCTAATTTCAGGTATCAGCTAGGAAGCTAGAATGACAATTAGACACATAAACTCTATGTCCAAATGAAAAGATTTATCTTGTTTACTTTTATTAAAATTTGTAAGCCACTGCATACATATCATTATCAGAAAGTAGATGCTCTGCCAAGATGCCATTTCTGTGTGGACAGCAGAATAAGTAAAAATCATGCTTAGATCAAATTTTAATAAATCTGCCACCATCACAGTAAACACAACTGACGCTGTGTGTTACTAATAAATGAACTCAAAAGGCTCCCATTTGACTATGTCAGATCTAAAACTGTTTGATGCTATTAACATTATTATATTAATTTTTTTTCCTGTATGAGGTGAGGACCATGAGATCCACTCACATGAATGTGTAATAGGTTTTAAAGAATAAAACAGAGCAAGGAACAGAGGCTGAAGGGGATTGCTATCATAGTTTGTCTGATAAGGCAGGAGGTGAGGAGAAATGGGAATAGGGTGAGGAACACGTTATGGTAACAGTGAAGAGTTCCATGTAACAAAAGGGGTGCCGACTTTCACCGACCTGTGCAGATCTTGTCTGCTGGACCTGGGATCTGAGGGCCTGAAAGAATGGGGCAGACTACAGTCTAATGCTGTAGACAATATTCAATACTTCAATTTCAGTGGACTTTTTTTTTTTTTTTTTTTGGTTTTTCGAGACAGGGTTTCTCTGTATAGCTTTGCACTTTTCCTGGAACTCACTCTGTAGTTCAGGTGGGCCTTGAACTCAACAGAGATCCACCTGGCTCTGCCTCCCGAGTGCTGGAATTAAAGGGATGTACCACCACTGCCTGGCTTCAGTAGACTTTTATACACAAATGAAACAAAGAAAGCACTGATCCAAGGAAGGTTGCTTGAGTTAAAAAAACAAAAACAAAAAACAAACAAAAAACAAAACCCATGAAATAAATACCAGGAAGCATGCACTAAATATTAACAGAACAGCCCTTTTCCAGAACTTTCTTAGGACAGACCAATTTAAGTACAATTATCTGGCATGCACTATAGGTTATATATGGGGAAGCAAGCAAGCAAGGCAGAAGGCCATATCCCGATTCAGGTTCTATAGCTGTGTTCTGACATCCAACAAGAATAAGCATGGCTTATGAACTGAATATAAATGTTTGTCACAGGAGGCATGAAATCACGTCCAAGAACAACCCAGGAAACAAAGTGCACTTGAGGTCAAAGGCCTTCTCTGCCGTTTTCCCGGAGCCTCTGTCACAGTTCCCCAAGGCATTGTTTACCATGGGTCATTCTTGGGACTGTGTTCCAACAGAGCAGAGGCCACATTATCCGAGAAGAACACAATATAAGGTTCCAAACCTAGGTTTTTCCATGAACAGCTACATTTTCTTTTCTACTTAGCCTTTCTGAGATCCTGCTCACCCCTTACCCCCTTAATTTAAAGATGATTAAGAATTTAATCTGTGATGACCACAATTAAATGCCATTTTGCTTTAGGGTGAATGGAGTAAAGCTAGTCTGATCTTTTTGACCAGGTCGCAAACTTAAGAACACATATCACACTTTCTGTGCCTTTTCTGACATGAGTTTGCTACCTTTCCCTTGTATGCCCTGGCGCTGAACTTAGGTTAGCTTCCTAGTACGCTAACCCAACTAGCCAAAGGCTGTGTGTACCAAATAATTCTCAATATAAACTTTTTAACGAGAAATGTTTCCTTGTCAAGGTATGTAATCGTTAGTAGAATTTGTTATTTCCATTTGCAACCATATACACTCACCTATATACACATACAGACGTAGCCTTAAAGTCAGAAATATATGACACAGGAGAAGATATATTAAAAGACTTTATTCACAATAGAGAAATTTTACAAATATAATCTTTAAAAATTATGTGTCAATCTATTGTTTCCCATAACATCAGAGATTTATATAAAGTTGGAAATGACAGAGTGCAATCATGAACAAATCAAAAACAATCAATGTAAAAATGGATAATACACATGAAAAAAAAATCCTGATAGAGTAGTCATTGAGTTCTATAAATTGGCATACAACTTATATTTATAATATTAACTGCACAAACTATATCAAAACATATTTCATAAACACAAAAGAAGGTGCTATTTTAACTATTCACCTTGAAGGATGTGGATTATACATGTAAATTAAACTGCACAGTTTTGTTGAAAAAGAATGAGTTGGTATCTACTTGGTGACTTCAATTGTTTAAAATTAACACAAAATATAAGCTTAATTCAATGATAATACTATAATATTAATCTCTTATCTTGTTTACATTTTTGGTGTTCTGGAATCTAGCATTTAAGAAAATAAAAATCCATGTTTTAAAACTGAAAGGCAATTCTTGCCATTGGAGAGCAACATTGTGATTCAGCTTCTTGCCTGCTTACACTAGGACACCAAAGGTACATCAGAGCGTAGTGGGTACACAGGACCTGACTTTAAAATCCCACCGGATGCAGAAATACTCACCAGTTTTGTGTGCTCCTTCAAATCACAATACAAAGAAAATGAATTAAATAATCCAAGGACAGTGAAAGTTATAATCAAAATACATATGGCCACATTTTTTGGCAGCAAATTTCAATATTTTACCTCAGAGCTCTGGGGAAAGAAAGATTTCTTATTCACTCATTGATCCCAGTGGAGGGAAAAGTTTTACAGTCAAATCAAGTTTGTAATTAAGGGGTCAAGGGAGCCTCTTCTACTTAGGTTCATGAAAGTGACATCACAAGTTCATGAACTCCACAGATTAAATAGATTATGGGCACAAGTTCCTCTGGGTCTCAGAGGTTCACACAGCCACAGGATATACTGAAGGCTCTTTTTCATTGACTAATTTGACAAGTTTATGCATTTTGGTGTATTCTAATGTACAATACTGGAAACAACCTGGCCACACAGGTGGTAATCCTAAATGGCATTTTTTGAAACCCTCCCTAAAGCTGAAATGGGTAAAACTATTGTCTACTGAGATTTAACAAAATAATTGTCTTAAATAAATAGGTCAAACAACATGAAACCCAATAAAATTAGAAAGTTGGAAGACTATAAATGCACAGGAATCTATACTTTAGTCTAATCCAAGGGGTTGTACTCTTTGTTTTGTTATCATTGTTGACAATAGTAGGTTGAAATCGAGGTGGTTAGTCTTTGTCCCTTGGTACACACATAATAACAATCTATTTTTCATATAAAGAGCAGGTGCAGTAATGAAAGCTATCACTAAATCTGTTCTTGGGAAAATCTTTCATATTTCAAGAAAAGGTGTGGAAGAATCATATAATCATTTTGATCTGCTACAGATCAAATTATGAGGGGGTGTGTCCATTCCTATAAATTATTTCTAAGTTAAGATCTTTATGCTGAATGGAACCACACTAAGCACACTGTATTCTTAAGAGCTAATTAGATTTTCCTTAGTTGAACACGAACAGATAAATTGGCAAAGTTTCTTTCACTGGGTGAAAGCTTGAAGTGAAGTAATTACCTACATCTGGGAAGAGCCCTTTGCCAATCTGAACCAAGTGCAATGTTTCCGTTCCTTAAAGAAAAGCCAGAGATGAAATGCAAATACATGAACTAGTCATATGAAATTCTCAGTCTCCTTTTAGAGACCAGACTGCGGGACGGATTCAGTTCAGAGCAAAACCTGGCAGGTTAAAAGTTACATCGCTTCCCTTTCAATGGATTCAGGACCAGGGGTCCTCTGCAGAACTCACGTGCTCTCCTTGCTGTGCAGTGGGGAATGGAAGAAATTAAGCGGTGCGTGACACAGAGACGACACAGGGCATTTAGAGTAAAAGTAGGGAAGAAATTCCAAAGTGCAGAAACACTAACATAATCAAAAACTAAAACACACTGTGCTTGCAATGAAATGAGGTCAGTGTGGCTGCCTCTTCTGGGATGACTTTCTCATTTGAATTGTAATGTGAATGGAGTACTTTAGAGGACATTCTATCAAATAACGATAGACCTGCTAAGAGGCTGTCACAGTTATAAGATCTGTCTCTGGTGGGTAGACAAACCAGATTAACATGAACTTGAAAAGGAAAAAAAAAAGCTTTTTTTTAATACTTAATTTATTATTATGGCTTTTTGCAACATGGCAAAACATTACAGCTTAAAGCAGACACCATCTCCTCATAGAGGAGGAAAAAGTTTTGCAGTCAAATCAAATCGTAATTAAGAGGTCACTGGTAGACTGTTCTATTCCATTTTCATGAAAATGATGTCACAACTTCATGAACTCCAGAAACAATAGATTCCTTAAAAAAAAAAAAAAAAAAAAAAGACAGACAAACAAAATCAGTGGATCCACTAGCTGGATAACAAAGTAATAAGCAATTGAGGTCCACTGAGGCTTATGATAATGAACGTAAAAGACTGCAAAACAATTTTAGAACTTAGGATAATCATAGACTTTTATAGATCAATAAGAGTTCATCATGTGTCTGATGACCAGGAAAGGAATTATTAAGGTATGCAGTGAGGGAACGAAGCAGAGTGAAATAGAGAATGTCTTTTATTTCTCTTTGACCTCAATTTCCTTTTTCTCTTCTCGGAGTACAGGGAAAGGGTGGGCCTCGGTATTGAAGATCCAGTGTTCTAGTGGAAGAAGATCGTCATCAGAAAATATCAAGTACAAATACCTGGAGAGAAAAAAAATGAGACTATAAGGCACAAGAAAGTATGTCACAAAACACATCTATACTTCTTGTAGAGAACCACAGATGTCAGTCGATTCTAACGCCCACCACCCTTATCATGGCGTTAGTCATGCTTTGGGTGCTAGTGTATGAGAATCATGCGGAGTAATTCCAGGTCAACCAACTCAGCAACGACCAGAGGTCCCTGCAGAGACACAGACTGTGATGTCCACACACCCGACTGGAATGGAGATCACACATCAGTCATATTTGGTCTATGGTGAATGTGTTCATCGTGAAGACATCTGTAGAGAAGACCTCCTTAGGGCCTCAGCACAGGTTGAGGACAGTTGTACTTACTTTAGTGTCTCTGCCAGGAAGAAACTTTGCTGGACATCGTCATAACTTTCATTAGCAAAGTAAACGTCCCGTAGGCCTGAGTAGCCACCGTTGACTCTGCAGTGACTTTCCAGAGCCTGAATTGCCAAGAAGAGGGGGGAAATCAGTAAAGTTATTATTAGCATTTTTTTTTATTAGATTGTAGACTCAGGAGGGAATGAGAGCTTGTAAGAGTTTTTGATAGAAAAATTTAAAAAATCATGACCTATGCATTATATATCTTGCCTCAAAAGAACACTTCCACATTTGGTTTTGTTAAAGTTTGCACTCATTTCTAGCATTTCGACTTTTGGTCCAGACCAGTGACTCTCAAGCTGTGGGATGCGACTCCTTGGGGGATCGAATGACCCTTTCCCGGGGTGTGTGTGTGTGTGTGTGTGTGTGTGTGTGTGTGTGTGTGTGTGTGTGTGTGCCCAAGACCATTGGAAAACACAGATATTTACATTGCAGTTCCTAATAGTAGCAGACCCATAGTGGTTCTCAAGCTTCCTAATGCTTCGACCCTTTAAGACATGTGGTGACACCCCCCATCATAAAATTATTTTTATTGGTACTTTTTTTTCCCCCCCGAGAGAGGGTTTCTCTGTGTAGTTTTGGTGCCTATCCTGGATCTCACTCTGTAGACCAGGCTGGCCCTGAACTCACAGAGATCCTCCTGTCTCTGCCTTTTTTTTTTTTTTTTTTTTTTGGTTTTTCAAGACAGGGTTTCTCTGTGTAGCTTTGTGCCTTTCCTGGAACTGGCTTTGGAGACGAGGCTGGCCTTGAACTCACAGAGATCCATCCGCCTGCCTCTGCCTCCTGAGTGCTGGGATTAAAGGTGTATGCTACCACTGCCTTATTGGTACTTTAAAACTGTTAACTTTGTTACTGTTATGAATCATAATGTAAATATCTGTGTTTTTTGATGGTCTTCTGTGACCCCTGTTGAAGGATTGTTTGACCCCCCAAAGGGGTTGCAACCCACGGGTTGAGAAACAGCTCTCTAGATTAAAGCCAAGGCCAATCAAAGCCCACCTGCTATGTCCAGCCCACTGTCTATTTCTGTAAGTAAAGTTTTATTGAACAATGGCTAGACTCTCTTCACTTGCTTACATAGTGTCTGTGGCTGTTTTTTGCACCACAATGAGAGCAGTGAGTAGTGGTGGTGGAAATTATATAATTCTGCATGCCCTTTATAGGACAAGTGTGCTGATCTCTGTCTAGGCATGTTCTCAGTGTCAACTGGGGCTGTAAAGCACTGGTCAAGAAAGTGTGCTGGACCCCAAAAGCTTCTACTTTGATCAGAATATATTAACTACGTCTTTCCAGTTAAGTCCTAGTAGAGTATAGTGAACTAGTAACGATATTAGTGATAGAATTGAAAAAATAGAAAGCTGCGAGAAACATGAGGCTGGAATCCATTGCAAAACTCAGTTTTTTCCTTTCTTTATCATGATAGAGAAGAAAATGGGATGAGTTCACTGACGACTCTAGAAGCTTAGAGAGACATGGTCTGTAGCTGTGTGGAGATAAAGAATATTTGGAGAGGAGATGGGCTGGCAGCGGAGGTATGAAAACATTTGTAAAAACTTACAAGGCACCCTTCCGTTTTGTTATATGTCAATGAACTGACTACTGTTTGTAGATTTTTTTTTCTACAGAAGCTCTCTTTGTTTTTATTTTTCTATGTTTCATACTTCTCAGCTTTACTGATGATATACTGGTGACAAATAAAAATGTCATACTTTTAAGATGTATAAGTGTGCTGCTTAATGTACAGATTGTGAAACAGCTACCACCATCAAGCTAATCAACATATCCATAGCATCACGAGTGGTATTTTTTTTTTTTTTTGTGGTGAGAATCCTTGAGCGCTACCCACACACTGCTCTTCACTATCATCACCACGCTGTATAGTAAGCTTCCGAAATGCTTTCATCTTTCAGCTGAAATTTTCAAACCCTTTTACCAGTAAATGCCCTTTTCTTTTTCCTCCCGAGTTCCTGGTAACGGTCCCTCTGTTCACTACTCCTCTTAAGTTAATTATCCTAAGCGCTACATAGAGATGCTATCTTTCAGCAACATTGGAAGTGTGTCTCACATCTTTATTTCTCCATCCGCTGAGGAGCATTTGGTTGCTTCTATAGGTTGGCTACTCTGAATGTGAGATTGCAGAAAACCCTTAGATTGCAGAAAACTCATATCGCATTTTCTTGGATATATGCCCCCAAATGGGACTGTTTCCCCTTATGACAAGTCTGTTTTTAATTTTTTTTTTTTGGTTTTTCGAGACAGGGTTTCTCTGTGTAGCTTTGTGCCTTTTCCTGGAACTCACTTGGTAGTCCAGGCTGGCCTGGAACTCACAGAGATCCGCCTGGCTCTGCCTCCCGAGTGCTGGGCTTAAAGGTGTGTGCCACCACCGCCTGGCTGTTTTTAATTTTTAAAGAAACCTCCACACTGTTTCTCATGATGGTCATACCAGTTTGTATTGCCACTGACAGAACACAAGGGTCCCCTTTTTTTCACACCTGTGACACTCCGGGTAATCTCTTGATTTTTTTTCATAATAGCCATTTTCAGAGAAGTGAGGTGGTCTCAACCATGGCTTGGCTTGCATTCCCTATGATGAGAGATGCTGGGACCTTTTTCATACAGTTTTTGGCTACTTATATGCCTTCTTTTGAGATTCTTCAGCCTACTGAGATTCTTTGCCCATTTTCAAAAAGGGTTATCTCTCATCACTGAGTTCTGTGAATTCACCATTTTAAATATTAACTTCTTATAAGATACAGTCACAGAGTGTACTAACAAAAAGTCAGCCATAGCACTATGAGGCAATAACATCTTATGGGAATACGGTCAGAAAGAAAAGTCAGCATGTGGTTATGTGATAGCAAATGGCTGAAAATAATTTCCATGTCCTGTTTCCTCTGCTGTGCAGAAATGTTGTAGACTGATAGGGTCCTGTGTGCTTTATTTGACTTTTGTTACTGTGCTGTGAGTGTCAAATCCAATAAAGCCATCGACAACCTTATAGCAAGAAGATTTTTTTCCTCAACATTTTCTTCCAGGAGTTTTATTTATTTCAGATCTTATATTTAATTCTTTAAAAATTCACACTCTGCAGAAAACTGCCACCTGAAATCTTGTCCTGATTCACAGAAAGCTGAGATGGTTCATCCTCACTGTCAACAGGACTAGATGTAGAATCACTTAGGAAACTCAGCCCTGGCCATGCCTCTGAAGGTGTTCCAGAGAAGGAAACTGAGGAGGAGAGTTCACTGATGAATATGGGTGGGACCTCAGACTGAGAAAGGATGATCACCAACATTCATCGCTCTCTGATTCTTGACTCTGGATGCAGTGGGGTCATCTACCTTCTGTTTCTGCTGCCCTGACTTCCCCCCATGACAGACTCCTTCAATCCTGGAGGCCAAATAAACCCTCCTGCTTTAAGTTATACTTGTTGGGTATTTCTCTCACAGCAACAAGTTCAGTAACTAACAGAGAAACTGATATTGAGGAATGGGCCAGTGCTGTGATAAACCTGGCCATGTGGCATGTAGGCTCTTGGAACTGGCTGGTAGGGGGGCTATGAGGAACATGAAGAGGTTGGATAGGAAAGCCCTACAGTGCTATAAGCAAAGCTTAATGGGTCCTTCTGGGAAAAAAAGTAGATAGAGGAGGTCCAACTCATGATGACGTAGAAAGAACAAGAATAAATAAAACTAGGAACGAGTTTTATTCTAGAAGTTATTCTAGAAGTTATTGGGGTTATATTCTGGCAAAAAAATCTGGCTGCACTGTTCTTGTGTCCAGAAAATGAGTGAGCCTGGAATTTAAGCACAGTGGAGTAAATTGTTTTGTGGAGGAAATCCGAAGACAGCATAGCATGTAGGCTGGGCTGTGATTACTTCTTAGTGCATGTATTCAGATTTACAGTGAGAAAGAGCAGAAAGACCTTAAAAATGTTAGCCAGATTAACTTATCTAAGAAATTTCACACTTTGCCCTGAAACTATAGGAAAGGTTCCCCGAGGGCAAGACTCATCATCCAAAGTTGGAATTTGTAGAATTAATTTAGAAGGAGAAAGTTTGAATTGAGAATGTTGCTAAAGGGATCATCCACTGTAAAATAACTGCCTTGGAGAATGCTCCCCCATGCTCAGCCACCAACATACATAGAGGTCACTACAGCTAAGGCACAGGGGAGCTAGATAATTCTTGAGCTGGCAGCAGAACTTAGCTGCATTGTCTATATATTGGTGGTCTTTCAGGCATGCAAAATGCAAGAATTCCTGGGTAATTAAGTCTTACATCAAGGTTCCAGAAAGTGGCTGGGGCTAGCAGTGTTTGGCAGAGTTGAGTCCTCCCCAGGAGGCTCTGAGAGTCCATTGCTTAGAGCTGTGAAGCCTGAGTTGCAATGGAGATACCATGATGTTGGAGTTGCCAAGACCGTTGGCCATCTTTTGAGGACAACAGTAGGCTTTGAGTGAAAAAGTCCAAGGTGAGGGTACATGTGCTGCCGTTTGTAAAACTCAAGAAGCAGGCTTAATGAAAGCTTTTGGATCCCAGATTATGTCACTGAAATCCCTAGAGGCCAGGCATGGAGCTGGAGGTGTTTTGTTTTTCTCTCCCTTGGGTTTTGGTCTTGTTAGCAAGGTCTTTCCTTGCTACCCTCCTTCTCCTCCCTTTTGGAATGGGAACATTTCCTCTATGTCACTGTATATTGGAGGTACACAACATGGAATTTTGATTTTAGAGGTGGTGATGGTTAAAAGATTGCCTTAAGTCTCAAGATTTTGGACTTCTGCTTTTGAATAAAGCTAGAGCTGTTACAACTTAGGAGATAGATTCTTGGAGGTAAACAAGGCATTGTATTGTGAGATGGCCACGAGCCTTTTCAGGGGTAAAATACTATAGATTAAAGTGTGTCTGAGTATCAAGTTGAGTTGTCAAAGGTTGGACTTGTGATGGCTCACTGTCTACTGAATGGATTGGGCATCACCTATGAGAGATACCTCTGAGCATTCTGTGAGGGTGTTTTCAGAGGACTTCATTGAGGAGGGAAGCCTCACTCTCATTGTGTGTGGTACTATGGATGCAGGTCCAACCTGCACACAGAGAGAAAGCATTCATTTCTCTCTGAATCATGTCTGTGGACATAAACAGCCATTCCAAGTTCCCTCCACTATGCCGTCCCCACCATGATGACTACATCCTCAAACAATGATCTTAAACTCTTTCTGCATTAAGTTGCTTTTGTTGGCTATTTTGCAAAGCAGCGAGACAACTAATAAAACTGTATACACACAAAAAGCAAAGACTGAGATTAAAATCATAATACCATAAGATTAATAGTGAAAGGTATATAAGCAAGGTAAAGTTACTCTTAATTGCCCATTCTAATTTCTATTTACACTATGAATCACAATCCTGTCTTGCATTTACATATGTTTGCTGTGGATATTGCTCTATATATAAATAAAACACTGATGGCCAGTGACCAGGCAGGAAGTAGGTTGCCAGGCAGGAAGTAGGTGGGACAAGGAGAGAGGAGAATTCTGGGAAGCGGAAGGCTGAGGAGAGACACTGCAGCCACCGCCAGGACAAGCAGCATGTAGAGACTCTGGTAAGCCACCAGCCACGTGGCAAGGTATAGATTTATAAAAATGGGTTAATTTAAGATAAAAGAACAGTTAGCAAGAAGCCTGCCATGGCCATACAGTTTATAAGTGATATAAGCATCTGAGTGATTATTTTATATGTGGATTGTGGGACTGCGGGGCTTGGTGGAGCCTGGAGAGAAGCCCTCCAGCAACATATGTTTGTACATGTGTGATCATGTATGGGTAGATACGTGTGTATGGAGGCTGGGGAACAGTCTCCCTCAAATGTCAATCTTATGAAGACAGTCACCTCATTTGAGACAAAGTCTCTAATTTGTCTGAAGCTAATCAATTAGGCTAGACTGATTGGCTATCCATCCCCAGGGATCCCCTTGTCTCTACCTCTCCAATGTTGGGATTACATGTGCATGCTGCTGAGCCTGGCTTTTTGTGGGACTGTTGGGGATTCAACTCAGGTCCTTATGCTTGCGATGCAAGTACCATACTAACTCAACTGTTCCCTGGCTATGCTTTTTCCTTACACTTATAATCATATCCCATACCTCCCAACATTACATGTCTTTTCATGTTAGTTATGAAAAACTTTCATTAGCTAGAAAAGGGGTTTGAAAAAAAAATCATGCCTTAAAATGGAGCTCAGAAAAGAAGAAAGAGAAAGCATGTAGCAGCCACGATGGTTCCTGAGCAAGCAGGGACTTTGTACCCAGTGCTCAGCCTCAATCAGCAGATACTGATAACGAGGCCATTGGATTTCATATCAGGGACAGAGGGCAGAAGAAAAGAGAGCAGTGATTCACGAGGAGAAGCACTTAATTGCTAGGTGAAAGGAAATCCAGCCAGCGTGCTATATGAACAAAGAAAAGACAAATTCCCCATGGCTTAGTACTTAAAAAATTTTTTAGGAAATGAAAATGATAAGATTAAAAAGATGCTTCAATTAAATTTTAAATATTATACACTAAGACAAAATTGGGGGAGAACCCTCAAGGCAACTTTCAATTCCTATTATTTTTCTCTCCCTTTTTGATAGAAAGGGCTATCAAAAATAGCCAAGTATTAGATACATGGACTAAGCCAAAATTTATCTGTAAAGGGGGAAAAAGGTCAGCATTTAATAAAGAAACAGGTGAGGTTATTCTGGTATATAATGGAACCCACTTTCCAGATATTTCCTTAAAACTGTCCTAATCACAAAACGTGTTCTTGGTTATTCCCTTGAAGCTCTTGGGTGATGATCATCTGAGCCAGCCAGGCACAGTGATTAGCTATTCTTTCTGTCTATGGACGTTTCCATGAGTTCTCTCATTTGGTAAAGAGTTGGCAGATGGACACAGTGGCACATGCCTCTAATCTCAGCATGTAGGAGACTCAGGCAGGAGGACTGTGTTTGAGGCCAGTCTGGGCCAGCTAATGATACTCTGTGTGAAGCAAACAACAAAAACCCAACTGTCTGCTCATCCAGCCATCTACCTGTTCAACCAACCAACGCCCCCCCCCCCCAAAAAAAAAATCAGGAAAAGAAAAGAGATAAAGGGTTACCATTGGATATAGACAACACACAGTCACCTTTCTTCACAGTCATTCTTTTTCCTTCCGTAAGTTCTCTTCGGGCAACAGGCACAATATTTGTGCTGGCTAGTTCATGTCAACTTGACAGAAGTTACAGGGATATGTGAGGAGGGAACTGAGAAACTACCCCCATAAGACCAGGTTATAGGCAAAGATGGTAGAGCATTTTCTTAAGTAGTGATTGATGGGGGAGGGCCCAGATCATCATGGATGGCACCCCTCTGGTCTGGTGGTCCCTGGTTCTATAAGAAAGCAGGCTGAGCAACAGCTATGTTCATATCAGCATTGTTTTTAATAGCCAAAACCTGGAAACAACCTAGATGCCCTTCAACTGAAGAATGGATAAATAAAATGTGGCACATATGCACAATGGAATACTACTCAGCAGAGAAAAACAATGACATCATGAGGTTTGCAGGCAAATGGATGGATCTAGAAAAAATCATCCTGAGTGAGGTAACTCAGACCCAGAAAGACAAATATGGTATGTACTCACTCATAGGAGGATACTAGATGTGGAACAAGGATGAATGGACTACTACTCACATCACCTGGGAGGCTACCTGAAAAACAGGACCCCAAGAAAGATACAGGGATCGCCCAATGACGGAGAAATGGCTGAGATCTACATGAAGAGCCTGGACATGAGTGGGGGTAATGAAGGGCGAAGGTTGAGGGAAAGAGAGCCTGTGGGAGCGGAAGATCCCAGCTGGATCAAGAACAGAGAGGGAGAACAAGGAATAGGAAACCATGGTAAATGAAAACCACATGAGAAAAGGAAGAAACAAAGTGCTAAAGAGGCCCACAGAAATCCACAAAGATACCCCCACAAAAGACTGCTGGTAATGGTCGAAAGACAGCCGGGACTGACCTACTCTGGTGATGGGATGGCCAAACACCCTAATTGTGGGCGGCACCATTCCCTGGATGGGATCCTGTACTATGTAAGTAGAGAAAGGTCAGTGAGCAACAGCACACATCTCAGCAGTGTGACCAGCTGCTTCAAACTGCAGCCTTGTTGACCTCCCTGCCATGGACCGTACCTCTAAACTGTGAGCCTGGATAACAGAATCAACCCTTCCTCCCTGGCTTTTACGTGCGGGTTTGGGATCTGACCTCAGGTTCTCATGCTTGCACAGTAAGTGACCTCTCCTTTTTGAGCTAGGAGCTCAGGTAGCTAGAGGTGGTTTCTAACTAAGCACATAGCGGAGAATGACCTCGAGCTTCTGTTGTTTCTGGAGTGCTGGGATGCTAGTGTGCACTGCCATGCCCAATGCATTGGTCCCGGAGTCAGAACCCAGGCCCTGCGTGCTGCAGTGCAAGCATTCTGGAAACGGAACCACACCCCCAGCCCCGGTGTCAGAGCTGATGAAATAGGTTATTCTCGATGTTTCCAATTTAAACCAGTATTTGCAATTCAAGCTCACAAGGCCTTTGCAGGCCCCGTCACAGCCAGCCTCTTATCCCTGAAGCTTATTTGGAATTCACTTTTAACACATTTGCTTCCAGAGGGGGGAAAATGTAAATTTCAACCAGTGGAATCACTACTGATTGAATATAATTAGGAAACGGAATATTTTACCTAAAAGGACTGATGATTAGTGATAACAGATACACTAAGTGAAGAGAGTAGTCAGGAAGGTTCATCAAGGGCTTCCTAAGGTATCAGCTAAGCTTGCACGGACTTCCCGAGACTTCTGAGGCAGGTCCTTTCAAGATCACTGTTGATGGCAGCTAGCTTTCTAACAGGGAATGGAGAGAACAGAGCCAACTAAAGCATTTGCTTGTTCTTCTTCTCCACATTTCCTCGCCCTCCTTTAGGACAAGAGCCTTTAACACTAGACATGGCTGGATGTATGTAGCCGAGGGCTCCTCTAGCACCTAGAGCACAACAAATTAGGGGGATAATGCTCCACGTGTGGTAGGAAGGGACCCAAGAAAAACCGCTAAAGCGCCACACTGAGACGGAATAGAGATCTGACTGGTGAAGAACCCTTGCCCAAGGGACACTCTTCTCCAAGTTCTTCCTAGATTTAAGCAGATGGTTCACCCCAGGTGAAAACACAGAGTGTCATTAAAGCCCAAAGACCAATGGAAAGGCATGGATTTGGCAGCCGTGGACTTCAAGCAGAGAGCGACAGCGCTGAGCATCCAGAAGCTGCCCAGTGTCCCGGTGGAATAAAGCAACCATTCTTTCTACGGTTAGGGTAACTTCTTCCCGTCACACGCCTTTCCAGATCTTTCTGTCTAGACCTCTAACGTCCAGTATTCAAGTGTACCTGCCATACAGTTACATCATTGCTCCCTAAAGCAAAGCTAAAGCCCACGGTGCGGAGCAACTTAACCAGAAACAGCCGGTCCTGAACGGAACAAACTTGATAGAGCTACGGAAATCTCAGAAAAGTTGCCATGACAGATTTACAGACACTGTTGAACATTTTTTCCTTTTTCTTTTTTTTTCCCCTAAGAAACTGATCTGTAATAAACATGCAAATGAAAACATCACCTCTACGGCTTCCCAGGCCCAGGTTCTGTACTTGGGATCATGAGTCAGTCGCCACATGTACATGTAAGTCTCGATAACTTCCGGCCGTAAGATGTAGTACTTTTCATTTTGCCTCGTGGCAATGGCTTCCACACCACCATCAAATCGGAAAGCTTCTGGTCCCAGCTTCATGACTAAAACACATGCGCTCAGTTAACAGGGGTTACCTCCTGAGTAAGGCTACAATCTGGACAAAACTGTAAGGTGCTTGACCATCCTGAAGACAGATGCAAGAGTGACCCTTTTAAGGGCTAGTTATACACAACAAATAACACACAATACTCAACATATTTCCAAATTTGAGTCATCTACAAGAATCTATTTTAGAAAATGGCAACAATTCTTTTGCCTTTTTTCCTTCTTTCCCTCACTTAACTCTGATTTATTGAACACTCACCAAGTGTTTATAAAGCACCACAGACATTTGCTAGGTGGCTGGAAGCTTGGTGGTTGAGAATTCTCCTAGTATGTCACAAAAGGCCAGCTACTTAATTTTGTGTTTAAATGCATATTTTATAATTAGGAAGCCAGACATATAATCTCCTTATGGGACTTTGGGGAAGTTACTTTTTGTATCAGATCAGAGACACTTACTCAGTGTTATCGAGGTAAATCAAAGGTCAGTAAATGAGGCTGGCTTAACTTGCATGGCCTACATTTTTTTTTTTTTGTTACTCGACACACTAAGAAGTGTATTTTTGTATAAAATCAGTAACTTTTAAATAAAGACCTAAATTCCTTTCAGATATTAGTATCATCAAATTTCACAGTGGTTTTCTTTTCTCCCTCCCTGCCTCCCTCCCTCCCTTCTTCTCCCTCCCTCCCTCCCTCCCTCCCTCCCTCCTTCCCTTCTTTCCTTCCTTCCTTCCTCCTCTTTCTTGATGCTAGCTATGGCAAAGCTCTTTATTGAATGAAATCAAAGCAAGGGGCAATGGCCTGGGGAGGAAGAGTAACAGGTACTCACAGGTGCGGTTGTAAGATTCATGACAGGTGCGGGCGATTTCAGCTCCAAGTTCAAGGTAGTGCTGGGCCAGGGCTTCGGGCGCTCCGTCTGCCCCCAGTGCAAACATGCCCCCTGCAAAGCACGTCAAGTGGCCCATTTTGTGTTCCAGGAGGCCCCCCTTCCACTCTGCGATGTATGTTAGTCCCCCGCTGGACTTGCGGATCAGGTGAGTCTCAATGGCCTGAAAAAAAGACATTTTTGATAGTCTGTGATTTTTCTCAAATTTATAGTAAATTCTATATTACTGCATAATCAATTGTTTCCTTTCCTTTCTTTTTTTAAATGAGACATGGTTTTGCCACAGATCACTGGCTGCCTTGAACTCACTATGTAGGGTAGGCTGGCCTCTCACGGCAACTCTCCTGCCTCAGCTTCTTGCGTGCTGGGATATGGGTTTGTGCCAACAACACTCTCCGCTTTATACTATAATTAAAAACATATATATGTATAGATGTATACATATAGAAAATACTACTTGCAATTTGAGTTTGTTATCACAAATCTAACTGGATCTGAAATGTTACGGCTTTCTGTATTCTTTCCTCGACTCCCTGCTTCATCTATTCACCTGGTTAGAATTTTCTCTAGTGTTCCAGCCCCACTGGCTTTGTGTGGCTCCATGACCAAACGCAGTTCTCCTTTGCTAAACCGCTATTCCCTTCTCATAGACAGGACGCCGAGGCCACGTCTGAGGTGAGTCACTACAAAGCCCAGGCCCCACTGTAGAAGAAGAACAGAATGTGCTAGAGTCTTAGATCCAGCATGGTGGCATTACTGTTTTCTCCCACATAGGCTTCAACAGAAAAAATCCATCCATAAAATGGGAACAATGTCATCTTACTGCGAAGACTCTGAAGCATTTTGCTTAAAGAAGTCCATATCGGAAGTAGCTCTGGTAAGTCACTCATTTACATCTCTTCTGTGGAGGGCCTGGGGAGATGGCGCCCCCTCAGTAAAGCCTGGAAACAAGCTGGGAGTGGTGGCCCTGGCTGTAATCTCAGTGCGGGGGAGGAGATAGGCGGAAGCCTGGGCCCCACTTTGCTGGCCAGCCAGGGGAGCCTCATCAGTGAGCTCCAGGCCAATGAGAGACCACGTCACACACAGAAAGCTGAGGGGAATGACTCATGAGGAATGACCCCTGAGCTACCTCTGGCTTCCACGTGCTCACACGTGCATCCACACATGCGTGAAAAATGAAGTCAAGCTCTTCCCTTGTTTATTCTATTAAAGAACATATTCCTGTACCGTTAAAAATTTTAAAACAAATGAAGATATTTAAAGCTAGGATAAAAATTAATATTCACAAAAATGACTTATATGGCATATTTTATTTATACACATGAACTATTGATATTATCAAAAACTAGGTTAGAATGAAGTAAACCTTGTATTAAAAAAAATCAAAAAGTATGAAGCGTGTTTGGAATTACTAATTTCCAATTTTTATTTTTGATAGAGAATGATTCGCACATCATGACCCAGGAAGGAGAGGGCTCGGATGGGGTCTGTAGCAATCACTGCTGTCAGAAAAAGGATTTTCAGGAAGCGCATTTGGGGAGCTAGAGAAGAATGGCCAGAAATGGATCTGCGGGCAGAGGAGACCTTCTCTACCTTTATTAGAAATAAACAAATGAGAGCAAGCCAGTAGGAAATAAATGACAACTGCTGTGCTCATTAGCTGTGGTTAAGCTAATTTTATTGATGGTTTAGTTATTACATTAATATTTCATTCTCATTTAATACCACCGAACATCTTAGCTATTTACACTTCTCATAACACAAATTGCAATAAAGTCCTTCAAGCAGATACTTGTTCATCACCCAAGAAATTATTCTTTCTACATGGCAAGAGTAATAGCTTTTGAGCACAGATTAAAGAAACATTATTACCCTGTTATGGAGAGTGAATAAAGTACTATATTATTTTTGCATGATTCTGACCAACTTGCTGCCTCCTAAAACAAACTATGATGAAGTTCTGTGCCCAAAGCAATAGTTTTGTGTGGAAATGGAAAAATGTAAATATACCCTACTATGACTCTAATAAATATATTTTTTTGCATCAAATCTATAGTAAATTGAATAGAGGAAAGAGCATGATATATTCTGTGGTTTAATTCTTCCTTATTTGTATTAATTTGATGAGGCCTTTGAACTTCTAAATGATACTTCACCTGCCCATGTATCTTGCCCCACTTTGGGTTCTTAGTGTCCAGGGAGGCCATAATAAGCAGCTGAGAGATCAAAGTATTGTATGGTTAAAGCACACTGCGAGACATCCTATCTGAGTCCATCTAAAGCTAAAACCGAGTGACCACATCCCCAGTGATTCAACAGTTCAGAACAATAACACACAGTATCCTCCTCTTGATACAGGCAGATTTTTTTGTTTTCATTCTGTTCTTCAGGCTGGCCTTGAATCCCCCAAGTCAACCGCGCCTTAGGCTTCAGGTGTATTTCTGCCTTGACTCATCATGATCTTTAAAAAATGTGTTTTGCTTATACTTTGAAGTTTCATACATGTATGCAATGTATTTTGATCATAATTACTCTCCAAGCTCTTCCCCGACTCCTTCCAGATGCTCTCTCCCTCCCTTCCCTACTTCATGTCCTCTTTAAGAAAACAAACAAACAAACAACCCCCCCTCCCAAGTCCCACTGAGTCTAATCAGTGCCGCCCTTGTGTGTGTGCATGGGTGTGAAGTCATTCCCTGGAGTATGGGCAATGTACAAGCGGCCACAACCCTGAAGAAAACTGACTCCTTCTCCTGCAGCCATCAACTGTCAGTAGCTCCTCAGCAGGGAGCAGGGGGCTGTGTGTCCCTCCCAAACCTTTGGGGAATATCGATCATGTGCACAGAAGCACAACTTTGGTAAGAGAAACTTTGCTCTGGAAGAGAACACTGCTTTCAAACTCAACTTTGTTTTATTTTTTTCTAACTTTGCTCTGCAACCTGAAAATATACAGTGGATTGAAAATGTTTTTTTATAATTAAGAGTCACAGGAAACACTTTGCCTCATTTGTTCTTAATGGATTTTCCTGTCAACTACTTGTCTAAACAGAATCCACTAACAGTTAGATGGGTAGAGTTCTAGAAACTGGGCAGCAGAAAGGGGAGGATACTTCAAACAATATTTCAAAATGGCTTTTCATGGCATATCAAGACCTTAGAGGGCCACTTTAAAATGAAAACAGTTAAAATGTCTGCTAGGATGGCAATTAGACGACTCAGTGCAAGCCAAATTATACTGAAAAGAATTCTTAGGATCAATACCTGAAACCTCATGGGAGGGAGGAAAAGTAACCCTGGGAGATCTGAGTTCTCTGGTGCCACCAAGTGAGGACAGGACTGTCGGGACCACAGCCTAGCTTTCTTTTGGTGCTCTTCTGGGGCCTAAGGAATTTCTGAGGCCTGTGTCTGAGAATGGAGGCCTCTAGTTTGCTTTCTGAAGCCCTCAACTGATCTAGGGAGGGAAACAATGGAATACTCAACCCAGCTAGCAAGGTCAAAGCAAGCTACATTACATAACAAAACAAAACAAAACAAAACAAAACAAAAACAACAACAAAAAATCACGCTGACCTATTAGAGATGCCAACACCTTTAGGATAAAGACTTTAAATAAATGGTGTGGGACATTTCTAAGGCCAGGTGTGACAGTCTGTGCCTGAAATCCCAGCACTTGGGAGGTAGAAGCAGGATGACCAGGAGTTCAAGGTCATCCTTGGCTGTATGGTTCCAGGCCATAGTAGGATAGATGAGAGTCTAATTCAACTTTCTCTCCCCAAGAAAAAATTTTTTTTCCTACAAATCAATAGTATCAATTATAAAAAATATTCTGTGCATTTACGAAAACAGTTAAGTTTCTTTGGATTTAGCTGTGATTTTATTAGATCTCTGGAGATGAGTTCAAACCACAGAAGCACTGGACTGTCAGTGATTTTCAGCAATTTTAACTTAGTTTTCAGAAAATAAATCCCGAGTTCCTTCCTCATAATGTAAAATGTCGCTATAAGACCGGAACATAGTCACATTGCTTAGGGAAAGGGGTAGATTCCAAGCAATGTGTCCTTCATCAGTGTCACCATGTGGACATAACAGGGACACTGCTATGATGTGAGGAGACAGTGTCATCTTCAGGGAGCACTGCCTTCCATCTGAGCTGCTGTTGGCCAGAATGGTAACTGCTCCATGACCACCTTTCTTATGACAGGTGGCTGTAGCTCAGGTTGACTTGGAATTTGCTCTGTGGCCCAGTCTGACTTTAAACTCAAAGCAGTCCTCCTGCCCTCAAGCCCACAGTGGCTGGAAGTCCAGGGGGTTACCACTATGCCTGACTAGATATACATGACTCTCAGGTGAGAACGAACCACATAATAACTTTCACTGCTCTGTTAAGGACTAAAATCCTAAGTATGGTTACTATTGTTATAAATACACTGCAGACACTGAGCTCTCTCTAACTGGAAATACTTTGCAAGCCACTCACGGGGTACTCTATTTTTTCATTAAAGCCTGATTAATATGCAAGTTTTAAGTTCGAGCTGACAAGCGAAGACAATTTAAACATTGGGCTACCTGAACGGCATCAAAATACATCTTCTTGGCTTCCACGTCAGTCCTGTCAGACATTAACCATGCCTTGAGCAGGTACTCATAAAAGCTGTCTCCAAGTCCTCCAACGGACACGTGATCTGAAAAAGAGAGGGAAATGGATTTCGGAGTGACTCAGCCTTTAATTCAGATAATGCAGCAAAATCATATTAGCAACTAGGATTCGAAAGCCGTCAGCTGCAGTTCAATGGAACACGTGAATTCCAACAAATTCCCTGCGTCAGAAAGACCTTCTGAAATGAGCAGATGGGCTGGGGACTCATGTGACGCACCCTTACAACCCCCCAGGGGACTTCAGCACACACGATGAGAGATTATGTGGAGTCACTTTTAATGAAGAAACCTGGTTCTCTAGTTCCCACAAACCAAGCATCCAACCAAATTAAAATGTTCCAGAGTCTATGTTTAAATATTTAAAATTTAGGTTAGAGCTGAGTAGATTACAAATATAAAACTCTGCTTTAGGCATGAAAACATAAAGTTGTTAGCAAATAACAGGCTGCTTAGGTTCATGCCATTTTTAAGACTCTATGATCATTTTCCTAGTGTTCTGAGGGGAGAAAGGGCGGGCCAGGTGTCCTGAGGAGGATGAAAGAAGAACAGCTTGTCTTCTGACATTTTCATCCCACAGTCCACCTCCACTGCCATTGACTGTGCTCGGTCTCCCGCAAAGATCACCCAGTGCGTCTAGGTGTCCTCCAAGAAAGCTGGTCATCTAGGCCAGGTGCGAGCACAGTGTGCGCCATTCTACTCCACAGGCCATGGGGGTGGGGGTGGGAGGCGCCTTTGGGTGTTTGCTTTTCATCATAAAACATCAAGCATAAACTTGATTTTTAAGGCACACCTACTTCCAAAACCGCAAACACAATCGATTGGAAACACCACACCCAGAATGGAGAGAACTTGAACATTAACAAAATGGCCTTGTGGAGTGTCCTAACACAAAGCTAAATCTAAAATTAAAAGTTTGTTTCTTGACTTGGTTGTTCAGGAGTGCATTAGCATGTCTCTAGATATAAAGAATTGAACTGTTCTGCTGCCTAGCCAACAGCTCCACTTGGAATCTGCATGGGTGCTGAAAAGTGAATACATGAGAAATTACATTTCTCTCTTTTTTTTGTCTTCAACTTCACCTCCTGCTCAGGTTTCCATCCCCCCCTTCATACTTACTCGAATGTGGGGGGGGGGGGTCAATGAGGTTGGGGTGTAGCTCAGCAGGCCACTTGCCTAGCATAAGCTAAGGCTCTGGGTTCAGTTTCCTAGCAACACAAACCCCAATGACCAAGAGCCATTAGATACTCATTTATAAGACCATTTTGTCTGTCTCCACCTTCCCACAGGCAGTGGGTTCTGACCTCTACACTCTATCCCTCCCACGTATCTTTTGAATTCCCCTCTTCCCCTCAGTTCTCATCCTGTGACCCTGGCTCAAACTACCACTACCGTTGTCCTAGTCAGCTTTGACCGACAGCTTGACACAGCCTATAGTCGCCTGAAAAAGGACTCCCTGATGAGAGATTGCCCAGGTCAAATTGGCCTGTGGGCTTATCTATAAAAGACCCTTTTGGTGTTGGAGCGCCCCCTATGGGCTCTAGCACCCTAGGCAGGTGGTGTTAGGCTGTATAAGAGAGTTAAGCTCAAGCCTGGGTTCCAGCCAGCAAGCATAGTTCCTTCATGGTGTTCTGTTTCAGGTTCCTGCCCTGACTCTCTCAATGATGGATTGTGACCTAGAAGAGTGAGCCAAACAAAGCTTTTCCCTCCTAAGTTGCTTTGCGTCAGAGTGTTCCATCCCAGCAACAGGAAGGACATAAGAACAGTTCCTGCTTGTCGCTGCAGGGGCCAATTATCTCATTTCGGCTTTCACTCTTATAGGGTGTGCTGTCTCTATTTAATTTTAGTAAAACTGAACAGCAAGGTCAGTTCCGCCACTGTCAAAGTGCTCAGCACTGTCACTGTGCTGGACAGGAAGTCAGCATGTTCTTCACTCCAAGAAGCATGGCAGCCTCTCTCCACACTCCTGCCAGTCAGCCTACTCCCAGACCAGACTGGCCACCACTAACTCAAAGCCCTCCAACCCCAGCTTGCTGGAGACCAGGGAGGTCTTTATGATCCCAGGCTTCTCCATGCCATTGGACATTTGCACTCTGCTTGCTTGTCAACAGACCTTTTGGGTCCTCAAAGTGAACAGCTTCCATCTATCTCCCTCAGGGATTCTGTAGGCCTTGTTTTCTCTGAGTAAACAGACATACCCCATATCCAGGATCACATAATACTTCCTTGAAGAGACCTTTCCTGACAACCTGACAAGGTCTCCTCCTTCATCAGCTTTTGGACAGCACACTTTTTCTGCACTTTTCCTTCTAGAATGTGGTCAAAGTACCTTGCCTTCTTACCAAATTGCAATCTACGAGAGCAGAGATGTTTCCTCATGTTTCCCGTCCACAGTGGGCCTTGGAAAGCCTCATGCCCTTCAGTACTAAGTGATACCAATGTCTTTTACGTCAATGTTAATAAGGACTGCACCTACTCCAACTTGCAGGGATTGATTTTAAGGGTTTAAATATGCAATTTCCTTATTACGAATAGTCCAGAATCATTTGAATTAAATTTTAGGGAAAATATGTTTTTCAAGTTGTAAGCCTGATTTCTTAAAATAGCAGCACATGACCTTTACGGTTTCCTAAATAAATTACCACAGAAACCTCTGACATTTACAAACTAAATAGACTAAGTAGGATCTCATCAATAATAAGCCCTGCTGTTGTAAGCATGACTGTAGGAGACAAGAGCAAGTGATGCATGGTGAAGCAAATCCCTGTCCGGTTACTGTCAAAATAACAAGGGCCAAATGAAGTTATAGGGAATGATGGCCACGATCCAGACGTGCCCTTCAGAGGCAGAGCAATGGGAGTGGAAAACTAACAGCCAGGAGCAGCTTGGCATTGCCCCGCTGGGGTCCAATTCCCTTATGATGGAAGAACAAGCTTGGGGATTCTTTTAAAAGAATAATAAAATAATCGGGGGACGATTATTTTAGAGAAAGAAGGGTTATATAATAACATTTATTTCAGTTAATCTTGGTGTTAGTTAATGAAAATGTTTTCTGGCTATCAAAATAAAAGGTACATCATGTTTTTGATAGTTTCGTATCTATTTATTGAGTTTTCCAAGGTCTGGATGATAGTTTGTGTGGTAACAGAGTTCTCTGTAAATTCTTTGTGGGTACAGGAAAGGAGGAGGCCCGAGTTTTCAGGACAGGACCACCAACTCCAGAAAAACAAACAGGTGGGAAATTCATGCCTCACAGTTCTAATAGTAATGGGTAGTTACTGAAATCTTATGTTCTTCTCTAAAAGGATAAATTATGACTTCTGCTAAGAAAGGTCCCATAAAAAGATGCCTAATATCTAAAAAAAGAAAAAAAATAACAACAAAAATAGTAAAAGAATCAAGATACCAGAGGACCAAAAATATTAATAATTTTCCTCACTTTTTAATAGGCTTCATATGAATCTGAATCTATCTGTCCAAAGCATTGTTTTAGTACTGCTAGTCACACACACACACACACACACACACACACACACACACACACACACA